TATATATATATATATATATATATATATATATATATATATATATATATATATATATATGTATATATATACACACACATACATACACCTTTGCCCCACCTTGTGGAAGCTGGAGATCCAGGTTCAAGAGAGAAGAGCGGGGAGACTTGGCAAAGAAGGGAGGGGTAGGGGGTGTGACCTCGTTTTCACCACTACCAAAAGGGAAATCATTTTTTTTTTATTAAAAAGTTTTATAAGTTTTACAAAAAGAACAAAACCATACAAAGACAAAAAACAACATATACAAAAAAACCTAAACATTACACAACAAAGGGAAATCATTTTGATAAGCTGAGGTTTATGGCCAAGATGTTCAGTAAATAGCAGGCAAGAGAACACCCTGCTTAAATGGTTGCATTCTGGATGTCCTTTCCATGCTTGAGGTGTTTCTGCAGAGGTTTCCTGATCAGGCCAGGTAACACAGTCCATGCATGAGAGAGTGAGGTTTTCCTTCCATCCCACCCTCAGATAATTTTATGTTGCCTGCTAAAAAAGGATCTGCAGGAAAACAGCCATGATCAGAGAGAAGAATTAGGTTGGGAACTTCGAGATGGAGCACCCACAACTTCTGAAAGCACATCTTTCCATTAATTAATTCTTCTGTCAGGAAATTTCTCCTTAGTTTTAGGTCGCTTCTCTCCTTGATTAGTTTCCATCCATTGTTTCTTGTCCCACCTTATGGTGCTTTGAAAAATAGCTTGACCCCTCGTCTTGGTGGGACCCCTCAAATACTGGAACACTGGTATTATGTCACCCCTAGACTTTTTTCTCTAGATACGATAGCAGTGTTCCGATACTTGAGGGGCTTCTAGAAAGACGTGTATGTCACACTATTTTCCAAAGCACCAAAAGGCAAGACAAGAAACAAGGGTTGGAAACTAACCAAGGAGAAATGCCCTAACAGTGAGAACAGTTGACAAGTGGAATGGCTTCCCTTCAGAAGTTGTGGATGCTCCATCACTGGAGGTTTCCAAAAAGAGACTGTCTGAAACAGGACAGGACAGAGATCCCCAATATTTCCAGCTTTGGGAACCTGTGGGGGGAGGGGATGTATCGTGCAAGTGGCTGGCAAATGCGGATGGGCACAAAGCTCCATTTCTTTTTTTTTTTTTTTTTTTATTGAAATTTTTCAAAAGTTTTACAAATAAAAATCCACCCCCCCCTCCCCAACCACCCCACCCCCCCCCCCCGACTTCCCAGAACTGAATATAGGATTATTTAACAAATATTTTAAAAATAACATTTGCAATTTATAAAATAATTAATAATAATAATAAAAATCACAATAATAATATATATAATAATAATATAGATAACATAAACTTTAAAATGAATAATATATACTAAAAAAGAAAAAAAAAAAAAAATAAAAAGAGAAAAGAGAGAGAGAAAGAAGAAAGAAGAAAGTAGACGAAGAATAAAGCATATATATATATAAAAAAAAAAAAATATATGAATAATAATACATAAAAAATGTATATATATAAAAAAGAAAAAGAAGAAAGAAAGAAAGAAAAAACAATCATTACAAATTATAAAAAGGCTAAATAATATTTTTCCATATCCAAATTATGTTGTATAAAATTTATCCATTTTTCCCATACCGCAAAAAATTTTTCTTGAGATTGCTCCTTTAAGAAAGCCGAAATCTTTGCCATTTCTGCCAAATACGAAACTTTATGAAACCATTCTTGTAAAGTAGGCAAAGATTCCTTCTTCCAATATTGTCCTATTAACAACCTAGCGGCTGTAATCAAATTTAACATCAATATAACCTCCTTAGCATCACAGTCAATAACAATACCTAGTAAAAATAATTGCGGAGTAAATTTTACCCTCCTTTTAAAAATTCTTTGAATATTCCACCATATCTTAATCCAAAAAGCTTTTATATGCTTACACGTCCACCAAATATGGTAATAGGTAGCATCCAAATATCCACATCTCCAGCATTTCGGCTGTAGATTAGGGTACATAATGGACATTTTCTTTGGGTCAAGGTGCCATCTATAAAACATCTTATAAAAATTCTCTCTTAAATTTTGCGCTTGTGTGAATTTAACATTTCTTATCCAAATAAGTTCCCAAGTATCCATTGAAATCGTTTCACCAATATTCTGTGCCCATTTAATCATACAATCTTTAACTAGTTCAAGTTCTGAATCTAATTCCACTAAAACCCCATAAACTCTCTTAATATGGGTTGGCCTTTGATCTCTTACTTGTTTTAAAAAAATTTCATCTTCTCTAAGCCAGCCCATTTTACAATCCATCTTCCATCTATCCACTATTTGTCTATATTGGAACCATGAATAAGTTAAGTTTTCATGTGTTAATTCTTCCAAAGATTTTAACTGCCAGTCTTGGCCATCCCATCTTAATAACTGTACGTAAGAGACCTTGTCCATATTTACCCCTTTCCTTATACCTTCTATGGCATGCCGAGGTATAGCCCATAATGGTATTTTGAAGTCACTTTTATAATACTTTCTCCACACTCTTAGCAAAGAGTTTCTTATAATATGAGACTTAAAAACCCAATCCACTTTTTTATTAAATATTAAATAGGCATGCCATCCAAAAAATAGGTCCCAGCCTTCCAAATGAAGTATTTCTGTATTTGTTAAATTCACCCAGTCGCTAATCAATGTCAATACTACAGCATCATAATACAATTTCATATTTGGTACCTTGAGTCCACCTCTCTCACGAAAATCTTGCATTATTTTAAGTTTCACCCTTGGTTTTTTCCCTGCCCAAACAAATTTATTAATACCTTTTTGCCATTCATCTAAATTACGTTCGTTCTTTAAGATAGGTAACATTTGAAACAAAAAAATAAACTTTGGCAGGACATTCATTTTAATAACTGCAATTCTGCCCATAAGGGATAACTGTAAATTATTCCAGTTTTTTAAATCCTTCTGTACCTCCATCCACAGCTTTTCATAATTATTTTTATACAATTTTACATTAGAAGCAGATAATGTAACCCCCAAATATTTTACCTTATCAACAATTTCAAAGTCTGTTAAGTTAACTAAAGCCTGTTTATCACCATTAGTCATGTTTTTAGCTAATATTTTGGTCTTATTATTATTAATTTTAAAGCCAGAAACACGTCCATATTGTTGAATCAATTGTAATAATTTCACCACCGAAGAAACAGGTTGAGACAAAGTAACAACCAAGTCATCTGCAAAGGCTCTTAATTTATATTCTTTTTTATTAATTTCTATTCCTTTTATTTCTTGAGACTCCCGAATTTTAATCAACAAAATTTCCAGTGTTAAAACAAACAATAACGGAGACAACGGGCATCCCTGTCTTGTTCCTTTTTCTATTACAAAAGCCTCTGACAAACCCCCATTTACAATAATTTGAGCAGTCTGTTTTTGATATATATTGGATAATACTTGTAATATATTTTGTCCAAAATTCATCTCCTTGATTAAACACAGCATAAACTGCCAATTCACTTGATCAAAGGCTTTTTCAGCATCCAAAAATATCAGGCCTGCAGAGACTTGGTTATTCTTTTCTAAATACTCTAATAAATTAATAATTTGTCTAACGTTATTCTTCATATACCTTCCAGTTATAAAACCCGATTGATCCCTATGTATAAACTGCTGCAAGATCCCCATAAGCCTGTTAGCTAAAATTTTTGCAAAAATTTTATAATCCACATTTAAAAGAGATATAGGCCTATAATTTTTAGGCAAAGTAAGATCTTGACTATCTTTTGGAATCAATGATATAAATGCATTACGCCAGGATGGAGGGATCTCTAACCCCTGTAATAAATTATTAAACAGTTCACACAACGGTTGAGTCATCTCTTCTACTAAAGCTTTATAATAAATAGATGTCAACCCATCCGTACCCGGCGCTTTGCCCAATTTCAATTGTTTAATAGCTATAACAATTTCTTCCTTAGTACAAAGCTCCATTTCTATGAGCAGCACAGTGTGTTCCTGCCACTCTAGCAAATGGAGCATGTGTACATGTGCTCGCCCGCTGCTTCTGCAAGTGAGGATGTGCGCGGTTTTGTGCTTGCTTAGCATTTCCATGGCCCAGTTGTAAACCCCTCATGGTCCAGTAGTGGGCTTCAGCCCACAGGTTGGAGACCCCTGGTATAGGGTCTCCTGCTCAGGCAAGGGGTTGGGGTAGAAGACCCCCAATGTCCCCTTCCAACTCTGTTATTCTATGTTCAAAATTGTTTTATTATTTTCTTATGGCCCAAAATTGTGGTTTGGCCTAGATTTGTTTTTGTTGCAGTCCATTTACCTCATCTCTGTTCTTTCCACCATGTGAGCTGTATGGTTATCGCAGTCTCTCTAAGAAAAGTACTGCATGCAAAGCTCGTTCAATCCTTCTCCGTTCCACTTTTCTCCTGGCCTCTGGCTACGTCTGCTTCTGATCCTCCCGAACAGCCTCTCCCCCACCTGAATTTGGTGTTTCAAGCTGACAGAATATCTAACATGATTTGGGACAGAATTCTATGGAAGGACTTTATGCTTTAATAGCCAGACGTGGTGTCCCTCCAAGCTCAACCAAGCTTAAAAGAGAACCTCATGCTATAGGTTCAAGGCAAAGCTTTTCCAGTTGTGTGTGAGCATCTCACGTGTTGTTGCAATGTTGAACTTCTCTGGCATCTTAGAATTCATCCAGTTCCTGTCTTTCTGCTTCCCTCCAGCACAAGACTTCAACACTCCGATGTGTAGCTCAGGGTTGAACTATCAGGTTCTCTCTGATCGTGGCTGTTTTCCTGCAGACCGTTTTTTTAGCAGTTGACATAAAATTATCTGAGCGTGGGATGGAAGGAAAACCTCACTCTCTCGTGCATGGACTATGTTACCTGGCCTGATCAGGAAACCTCTGCAGAGACACCTCAAGCATGGAAAGAACACCCAGAATGCAACCATTTATGCAGAGTGTTCTGTTGCCTGCTATCTACTGAACATCTTGGCCATAAACCTCAGCTTATCAAACCAAGTGAAGAAAGCTTACAGTCCCCAAACATACCTAGACAGCATGTTTGGGATTGAATCTTAAAAACGTAAATCATTCAAGCATCATCAGCAATCAGCTCAGTTCACTTCTCCTCTTGCAGGGAGCAAATATGATATTTTGGCTTGGTTTAATTTTGCGCCCTGCACAGATTGTGCTACCTTCTATGAATTCAGGAAGAGATAGCCATTGTCCAGAAGCCCAACTTTTGAAAATGGAATGGTAGCTGCTTCCTTTAAGACAGGGTTGGTTGGTTCTGCATCTGGAGTGAATCCAGTTTCCCTGTTGGTAGTGGGGAAAATGAGGTCACACCCCCTACCCCTCCCTTCTTCTCCAAGTCTCCCTGCTCTTGAACCTGGATCTCCAGCCCCCCAAAAAGGTTCTCCCATCCTGACTGCACTTTGAAGGTTGCAGAAGAGATTGCAAGATGAAAGCTTTGCTATTTGCCTTGTTGTTGGTGGCATTCATGTGCAAGGACCCAGGTAGGCTTTGATGCTGGTTGAGGATTTTATTCTTTATTTTTATATATATAAAATTTACTGGCTGCCCATCTTACCATAGGGTAACTCTGGGCGGCTTACATTATAATCTTAGTTAAAACATAAAAAGTTAAAACCAAAGAAAGGTGGGGAGGGCGCGGATGGAGTGGGGTAGACGTGGGATCTGTTATTACTCCATCAAGCACCTCTCTTGCACGATTCCTCAGCTGGGCCCCCAAGCTGACTGACAGAGCCCCGTCTTTGGGTCCTTACAAAAAGACAGGAGGGTTGGGGTCCACCTCACATTGGGGGGCAGGATGTTCCAGAGGGCAGGAGCCACAGCAGACAAGTCCCTCCTCCTGGACTCCACCAGCCAGAATAGTCGAGCTGATGGGACCCTCAGCACACCTCCTCTGCCATCACAAGTGGGATGGGCTAATTCCTGGGGGGTGAGACTAACCTGGACCTCTGCCATGAAGAGCTTTAAAGGGGACCCCCAAAACCTTGACGTGCACCCAGAAGAAGACTGGTGAGAAACGGGTCACCTAGAGTGGAAATACAGTGGATCAAACGAAGACTGAGGGATCGGAGCGAAGTGTGGTATTCGAAGCAGTTGTGCCCCATTCTGGCGGTGGGACTTTCTCCCTGTTCTGCTCTGCATAGGGAGGGTCCGTGGGATCCTTTAGGGGGAAAGAGGAGGTCTCCATTTGGAGAGGATCCCGTACTTGAGAGTGGCTGTCCCAGCTGTGTTCGGTATCCAATGGGTGCAGTTCTGCCTTAGCTGCTCATCTCAAATGGTGCATAAGTGCATACGTTTCCTTTAGAAGCAGTGCGGTTTGGAGGAAGACCTGGAACTTGGACTCCTGCTCCAATCCTTTCCTATCCCTGACAGAGCTCAGCACAATCCCCTCTCCGTGTATTCCAGTTCCAGATTTGATCATATTCATATTCATATTAGTAAAGTTGGAAGGGACCTTGGAGGTTATCTAGTCCAACCCCCTGCTCGGGCAGGAAACCCTACACCATTTCGGACAAGTGGCTGTCCAGTCTCTTCTTAAAAACTTCCAGTGTTGGAGCATTTACTGCTTCTGGAGGCAAGCTGTTCCACTGATTAATTGTTCTCACTGTCAGGAAGTTTCTCCTTAGTTCTAGGTTGCTTCTCTCCTTGATTAGTTTCCACCCGTTGCTTCTTGTCCTGCCTTCAGGTGCTTTGGAAAATAGCTTAATTCCCTCTTCTTTATGGCAGCCCCTGAGATATTGGAATACTGCTATCATGTCCCCCCTTGTCCTTCTCTTCGTTAAACTAGACATACCCAATTCTAGCAACCATTCCTTATATGTTTTAGCCTCCAGTCCCCTAATCATATTTGTTGCTCTTCTCTGTACTCTTTCTAGAGTCTCAACATCTTTTTTGCATCGTGGTGACCAATCACTTACTAAACTTCTAATGGGGTGGGAGGATGTACAGTAACTCGGCTGAGAGTTTCCCACCGTAGCTTAGTCCATCTCCCTGATGGGCTTCAAAGGTTACAACCAACACCTGGAACTGGACCAAGAAGCAAGCTGGCAACCTACGCAGCTGGTGGAGCAGTGGTGTAATATGCACTGCGCTAAAAACAGACATATTGTTCAGGTCATGGCTTTCTCTACCCACTGACAATTATCCAGGCGTCCTGGCATCCAATCTATGTGCCGAAGGGTGAGCCTCTGCCTTCCCATTGGACTTGGCACTACAGGGTGGAGCAGGAACTGGCCTCCGATGCTGGGGAGGCAATGTGCTTCTCCCATTATGGCTACCCATTGCATCCTGCCTGACCCTGCTCTGTATCCATGTCCTTCCAACAACACCGGATCATCCCAGGGGATATGGATGAAGAGCCGGGCCAGGCAGGATGCAATTTGCAGTGGTGGCGGTGGAAGCGCTGTGCCTCCAGTGCACTGCTGCCTGCCCCACCCAGCACTGCCGAGTCCAATGGGAAGGCAGCGGCTCTCCCTTCAGTATGCAGATTGGCTGCCAGGATGGTACTTACTACCTGTTCTGCTCTGCATAGGGAAGGTCCATGGGAGCTTTTAGGAGAAAGTAGTTGAGATAGCAGTTGGCCCAGCTGTTATTCTGGGGTAGACTGCCTCCGAAAGTAGAGGTTCCTTTGCGTAGTGAATTCTGCCATGGAAATACTCTTGGGAGCGGAAGGAAGAATGTTCCATTGTCTTTGCCCTCCCTCTGCCTCCCTCCGGCTTTGCTCACATTCAGCGTTTTCGATGGTGCAACCAAAGGAGATTGGAGATGCCTCCTTCACATCAAGCATGGATTTTCCTTGGCATCAACCTGAGATTGGTTGACATTGCTGTAATTTCTGAGACTTCTCAATTCATCCTGCAGCCTTGGGGGTCTCCCCTGCTAGGATTAACCAGCCCCAACCCTGCTTAACTTCCAAACAGAAACCAACCTCTCAAATTCTTGCCTGCTCACCTTTTATGGCCTCTTTCAGAAAAGTTATTTTTTTTCAATCTCACCTTTATTATTTTTATGTCATATTTATGTAGCGTATATCAGACGTGGTGACATTTGAGAGCTAAATGGAACAAAATTTCATTTTAATATATGCCGATTTGTGTACATTCAAAGTGACAATAAAGTTATTATTCTATTCTATTCTATTCTATTCTATTCTATTCTATTCTATTCTATTCTATTCTATTCTATTCTATTCTATTTCATATTTTCTATTCTATTCTATTCTATTCTGTTCTGTTCTGTTCTGTTCTATTCTATTCTATTTCTATTCTATTTCATTCCATATATTCTATTCTATTCTATTCTATTCTATTCTATTCTATTCTATTCTATTCTATTCTATTCTATTCTATTCTATTCTATTCTATTCTATTTCATTCCATATATTCTATTCTATTCTATTCTGTTTGTTCTGTTCTGTTCTGTTCGGTCTGTTCTTATTGTTAGCTCAGGGTGGTAAACAATCCTAATACTCTTTTCTTCATCAAATACCATTTTCCCCTGAACAACCACCCAGTGAATTGGGTTGGGCTAAGAAAGAGTGACTGGCCCAGAGTCACCCAGATGACTTTCTTGGCTAAGATGGGACTGGTTTGCAGACCATTTGATTATCTTTCTAATAAAATTTTCGCAGCCGACCTCATTCTTCAATAATCTATTGTCTAACACATAAGCCAAGATCAAAGAAATATCTAAGAGAGAATCCTCTCTTATATTTCTTTCATCCAGTTGCGGGTCTGTAGTGTCTTCGATGTTATGGTGCTTGCAAAGAGGAAATATGTTTGGAAGACCAACCTGTCTGTTATACTCTGGACAACGGAGTGGGTAAGCAAAGTTCCTCTCCTTTCTGACAGGTTTTCTTCTCGTATGGAAACTAGAACTCCCAAATGCAGCTGAGGATTCCAGATCACCTAGGACCTGTCTGTGCCCTGTCTAGGTTCCCCTGAGGTCCTGGCCTGACAGCCTAAGGGATACCAGGAAAGGGGGGGCTCAGAATGGGGACCCCATCCATCCCAGGTTCACTCATGTTTGGGAGGGACACATTCTTTATAGAAAGGGGGGAGAGGAAAAGCCTGGGAGAGCTGAGGGATTCCTATGGACGTGACAAAGCTTGGTCCTTGCAGATTAAGCCAAGAAATATCCAAGGGAGGTGGAACTTCTCCAGAATGCCTGCTTCCTATTTTACTCCCGAGTAGTCAGTAGAGGAGGAAGGAGGTCCGCCTTCGTGCTGTGTGGGAATGACTGATTGTGCGTCCAGTGTGGGTTTAGTGTTTGGTTCAGAAACAATCACAAATCAATTATTGGCACTGTAAATGTTTTGCTTTATGTTTCCTTTCCAGGACAGGCTGTTCGCAGAAGATGTGCCCCCACATGATCTCAAGGGGACAATGGGCTGGAGGCTAAATGTTGCACAACTAACTTTTGCAATGAATAAAATTATCCTTCTGATTTTAAAATGAGCTTTGTTGAGTTTTGCTGTCATCCATCATGGACCATCCTTTGCAGATTTAGGTTTGTGGCCTTTACGGTCCATAATTCAACCCCTCAGCTTCTCTGGACACTTCGCCCTCTCTCCCTTTTCTCCTGGCCTACATGCTTTGTTCTGCTCTTTCTCTAGTTTGGCAACGGAATAAATTTCTGCATTTAAATCCAAGCGTACTGGGTGTGTTTGCTATGATGTGTCCATTTTCCTTTTGGGAAAGTTAAATTGTGGAATAGTAGAAGGCTGAAAGTTTATATATATATATATATATATAATCCAAAGAGCGCCAAAGAATTGAGGCTTTTGAACTATGGTGCTGGAGAAGACTCCTGCGAGTCCCTTGGACTGCAAGGCGTTCAAACCGGTCAGTCCTAGAAGAGATCAACCCCAACTGCTCTTTAGAAGGCCAGATCCTGAAGTGGAAACTCAAGTCCTTTGGCCACCTAATGAGAAGGAAGGACTCACTGGAGAAGAGCCTGATGCTGAGAAAGATGGAGGGCAAGAGAAGAAGGGGACGAAAGAGAAGGAGGTGGCTGGATGGAGTCCCTGAAGCAGGAGGCGTAAGCTTCAATGGACTCCAGAAGAGGGTAGAAGACAGGAAGACCTGGAGGAGGTTGTGATGGGTCGGACACAACTTCACAATTAACAACAACAACAACAATCCATTTTTAATTAGTATTTTCCTTAACTGGGAAAGAGTGATGAGCATGCGGGCTTTTCTGTGACGAATGATAGGAAAACACATTGAAGATGAGTGTCATTCCATGTGCTTCCTTAAAGAGATCCAGGAGATTAAAACAGAAGGGGAATCCCTCCATCACCAGCTCTGCTAAATATGGCCTTGAGAGACCCTTGACCCATCACCATGGCCAAAGAAGAGGGAAGAACTGAAATGAAAACAGATTTCTAAGCTGGCACTTTTCCAACTGGTTCACCCTCTCAGGTCAGGCAGTTTATATGTGCCACGGGCAAAACCCCTGAGTCCTCTTCCTTCTCCAATGGGTGCAGGTCTGCCTTAGATGCTCATCACAGATGGGACATAAGTGCATAAGTTTCCTTTAGAAGCAGCATGGTTCAGAGGAAAACCTGGAACTTGGAGTCCTGCTCCAATCCTTTCCTATCCCTGACTGGGCTCAGCGTAATCCCTGATCCATGCATTCCAGTTCCATATTTGGTCACTTACTAAACTTCTAATGTTGTGGAATGCTGTGCAGTAACTGGGGGGAGAGAGTCCCACCTTAGCTTAGTCCATCATCCTGCTGGGCTTCACAGTTACAACCAACACCTGCAAATGGACCAGAAAGCAAGCTGGCAACCAACGCAGCTGGTGGAGCAATGGTGTAATATGCACTGCCCTAAAAGCAGACATATCTGTTCATGTCACGGCTTTCTCTAGCCACTGACAATTATCCAGCTGTCTCGGCATCCAATCTATGTGCCGAAGGGTGAGCCTCTGCCTTCCCATTGGACTTGACACTACAGGGTGGAGCAGAAAGTGGCCTCCGATGCTGGAGAGGCAATGTGCTTCTCCCATTATGGCCGCCCACCTGGTACCACCAAGTCCAATGGGAAGACAGCGCTTCTCCATTCAGTATGCAGATTGGCTGCCAGGATGCATAGCTAGTTGTCCTGGACTGTGAATTGGCCAGGACAAATGTCCCTTGGCAAAATTGCGTAGGACAAGTGGGCAGAGTAGGAGCACCAGTGGAAATTGAACTGTATTTTAACGTAGTCTGTATTTATTGTGCATAGAAATACATCCTGCCTGCCTGTAAATCTGCCCAGAGATATTGGATATGAGGACAACAAATAGTTTAATAATAAACAAACCAAACAATAAAATTACTTTAATTACTAAAGCTGCCCAAAAAGTGTTTCCCCCCCCCCTTGGTTGACATAATTATATATAGTTTGACCTGCTGAATATTCCCAATAGACATTTCAAATTAGTTTAAGTTGTAACCAGAAGCCAACATGACTTTGTCGAAAACAAATTTTGTTATTTGGCTTTTTGATAAAGTGACTAAATTATGGATTATTGAAATTCTGTGGACATAATGTACTTGGATTTCAGCAAAGCATTAGACAAAAGAAAACACAACCTACTTCTTGGTAAGCTAAAAAAAAGTGAGATGGACAGCACCATCACTAGATGGGTTTGTAACTGGTTGATTAATCGTACTCAATGTGTAGTCCTCAACGGAACTACATCCAAATGGAGGGAAGTAAGCAATGGGGTATTGCAAGGCCCAGTTCTCTTCAATATCTTCATTAACAATCTAGATGAGGAAATAGTATGGAAACCAATCAAATATATTGACTATTCAATGTGCAGAAATACCAACACTCCAGAAGACAAGCTCAGGATCCAAAAAGATCTTGACAGACTTGAACACAGGGCTCTACCTAACAAAATGAAATGCAACATAGATAAAAATAAGGTTTTACACCTGGGCAAAGCCCACCCTGCAACTAAATAGGTACAGACTAGGTGAAACTTTTCTTAATTCTAGTAACTGTGAAAGGGATCTTGGATCCCTAGTGGACAATCACTTAAATATGAACCAACGGCGTGTGGCACCAGCCAAAAAAGCCAATGCAATCCTAGATTGCATTAACAGAGGGATAGAATCAAGATCCTGTGAAGTTCTAGAATAGAGAAGAGATCTGGAAGGGAATTTGGAGGTCTTCTTTTCCAACCCCCTGTTCAAGCAGGGGACCCTAGACTAGACATGTCAAACTCACGATGTCACATGACGTCACGCAACATATTGGGACAGTTTTGCTATTGCCAGCAATGGGGTGGGCACGGCTTCCACGTGACGCATCCAGCCCATTGGCCGGCACTTCGACACCCCTGTCCTAGACCATTTCAGAGAGGTGACTATCCAGTCTTTTCATAAAAACCTCCAGTGATGGAGCATTCACAACTTCTGGAAGCAGGTTGTTCCTCTGGTTAATTGTCCTCATTTTTAAGAAGTTTCTCCTTAATTCATGGTTGCTTCTCTCCCTGATTAGTTTCCATCCATTGTTTCTTGTTTTGCCTTCTGCTGCTTTGTTTAATTCCCGAGTTTGTTTACTTTAGTTTCAGAGTGGCTAGAGCTGCCTCTATACTCTTTGCTTTTACCCTTCCTTGCTGTCATTATTGCTGATGTGCAACAGGCATATTTAGAAAAGCAGAAAGGTGGCATAATTTTATTGGTTAAATGGAATTATTTCACATTGTACTTTGGCTGGTACATAAACAAAGATTATTTCCGTTTCAATTGATCTTATCTAATGAAGAGCCAGCAGGTCTACATTAAAAATACGCAGAGGAAAATGTTTCCTTATTGCAATCGTTGGTGTGCTGAGAGGCACAACTGGGAAGAACAGAGAAGTGTTATCAATATATTCTTATCTAGTGAAGAGCTAGCACCCTCCTAGTGAAGGTATATGAAGGAAAATGTTGAATTCAGGAGTTGTGAGCAAAGTGACAAAAAGAAGGCATAGGGACTTTCCTAACAGATCCTCAAACTTCAGAGTTGCGAGATGCTCATCTTGTTTCCCAAGTGCTCTTTTGACTCTGACCTGCTGAATGAATGAGCCATCAAGCATCTCTGGAAGACGGCAATGCTAAAGAAGGAGCTCTTTAAGCTACTGGCTCCCCACTTCCCAGGTGGCTCCTCAGAAGCCACGAAGAAGCACCTCCAATTTATCAAATGGGTCCCTTCATTGTGGGATCATCCAGCGATGAAACATCTTCCTCCAGCAGTTCCTGTTCCTGACCCTGCAGCAACATCAGTTTCTGCTCCAGATCCTGTTCCTGTTCCCAAACTGATTCTTCTCTCTGATCATGGCTGTTTTCCTACAGATGCCTTTTTTAAGCAGGTGACATAGAATGATCCAAGCATAGTCTGGAAGGAAAACCTCACGCTCTCATGCATGGACAGTGTTACCTGGCCTGATCAGGAAACCTTTGCAGGGATACTTCAAGCATAGAAAGAACACCCAGAACGGAACCATTTAAGCAGGGTGTTCTCTTGCCTGCTTTGTACTGAACATCTTGGCCATAAATCTCAGCTTATGAAACCAATTTCCCTTTGTGTAGCGGGGAACATGAAATCACCCCCCACCCCTCCCTTCTTTCTGAAGTCTCCCTGCTCTTCTCTCTTGAACCTGGATCTCCAGCCCCCACAAGGTGGGGCAGTGGCATATATATACAGAACTTTATTCTCCCATCCCGGACTGCACTGTGAAGGCTGCAGAAGAAATTGCAAGATGAAAGCTTTGCTAGTTGCATTGTTGTAGTTGGCATTCATGTGTGAGGACCCCGGTAGGCTCATCAAACTTTGATTTTGGGCGATGATCAAAGACAGACTGAGGGGACAGAGGAAAGATTGGTATTCAAAGCAGTTGTGCCCCATTCTGGCGGTGGGACTTTCTCCCTGTTCTGCTCTCCATAGGGAGGGTCCCTGGGAGCCTTTAGGGGGAACGAGGAGGTCTCCATTTGGAGAGGTCTGTAGCTGAGACAGCGCTTGGCCCAGCTGATATTCTGGGGTAGACTGCCTCTGAAAGTAGGGGTCCTTTGCGTAGTGAATTCTGCCATGGAAATACTCTTGGGAGCGAAAGGAAGAATGTTCCATTGTCTTTGCCCTCTTCTGTGACAAATGACATGAAAATGCATTGAAGATGAGTGGCATTGTGTGTCATTCCTTAAAGAGATCCAAGAGATTGAAACAGAGGGAGAATCCCGCTATCAGGAGCTCTGCTAAACACGGACTTGGGAGAAGCTTGATCCATCAACATGACCAATGGAGAGGGAAGGATTGAAATGAAAAAAGAGATTTATATGTGCCACGGGCAAAACCCCTGAGTCCTCTTCCTTCTCCAATGGGTGCAGGTCTGCCTTAGACGCCCATCTCAGATGGGACATAAGTACATAAGTTTCTTTTAGAGCTAGCATGGTTTGGAGGAAGACCTGGAAGTTGGACTCCTGCTCCAATCCTTTCCTATCCCTGACTGGGCTCAGCATAATCCCCTCTCTGGGTATTCCAGTTCCAGATTTGATCACTTACTAAACTTCTAATGGGTCAGATGCTATACAGTAACTGGATGGAGTCCTATGGATAGCTTAGTCCATCTCCATCCTGGGCTTCAAAGGATAGAACGAACACCTGGAACTGGACCAGGAAGCAAACTGGCCACCAAAGCAGCTGGTGGAGCAGTGATGTAATATGCACTGCCCTAAAAACAGACATATATGTGCATTTCAGTGCTTCCTCTGTCCGCTGAAGCAGTGTGGGACAATTATCCAGGCATCCCAAAATCCAATCCCTGTGCCGAGAAGTGGGCCTCTGCCTTCCCATTGGACAAGGCACCAGTGGGTGGAGCAGGGAGTGGCTTCTGATGCTGGAGAAGCAACTCTCCTCTACAGGCACAGCTGCCCATTGTGTCCTATCTGGTCCCACTTTGTACTCAGTTCCTCCCCACGGTTCCTATAGGAACACCAAAGGTGCAGTTTGGCCAGGATCTAGAATCAGGCTCCAGATAACCTGGGATAGCTCCATGACTGTCATTGAAACCATGAACTCCCTGTTGTCTCAGATCCCCCTCCCAGAGAAAGCAAAGCTATGTCCCCCAGAGGCATCAATCTGGGGAACTCCGTCACCAACCATGCAGTGGCTTCAAAGCACAGATGGTTTACCAACTTTGGTTAGTACAGAGACATTTCTTAAGACCTTTCGTTACTGCTGTTTCTTTTTCCAAAACTGATCATGCCAAACATTTTCGTATTTCGTTTTTTGATAAAGTGATTAAATTAGTGGAGCAGCAAGAGGTTGTGGTTATAGTATATTTGGATTTCAGTAAGGTGTTTGACAAAAGAGAACACAACCTACTTCTTGGTAAGCTTGGAAAGGGTGCGATAAACAGCACCATCACCAGATGGGTTTGTAACTGGCTGAGAAATCATACTCAATGTGTAGTCCTCAATGGAACTACAACCACATGGAGAGAAAGAAGCAATGGGGTCCTACAAGCTTATGTTCTAGGCCCAGTACTCTTCAATATCTTCATTAACCACCCAGAGGAGGGAATAGCACAAAAACTGATCAAAGTTGTAGATGAACAAAATAATTCTCCTGTGGAGGTCTAAGAGAATGCACCAATCAACCATCAGGTTCTCTCTAATCATGTCTGCCTTCTCCCTGCAGATCCTTTTTTAAGTAGGTGACATAAAAATATCTGAGCATGAAATGGAAGGAAAACCTCACTCTCTCGTGCATGGAAAATGTTTCCTGATCTGGAGGGGCACCTCAAGCATGGAAAGAACACCCAGAACCCAACAATTGAAGCAGAGTGTTCTCCTGCCTGCTATCTACTGAACATCTTGGCCATGAACCTTAGCTTATCAAACCGATTTCCCTTTGGGTAGTGGGAAAGGTGAGATCACCCCTACCCCTCCCTTCTTTCCCAAGTTCCCCCTCTCTTCCCTCTTGAACCTGGAGCTCCAGCCCCCACAAGGTGGGGCAGTGGCATATATACAGAACTTCATTCTCCCATCCTGGACTGCATTGTGAAGACTGCAGAAGAGATTGCAAGATGAAAGCTTTGCTGTTTGCGTTGTTGTTGGTGGCATTTGTGTGCAGGGACGCAGGTAGGCTCATGAACCTTTGATCTCGGTTGAGGATTTTAGTATGTATTTATATATTTATAAATTTTATTGTCTGCCCTTCTAACCATAGGGTAACTCTGGCTGGCTTACAATTAGCATCTAAGGTAAAACATAAAAAGTTCAAACCCACCCTTAAAACCAAAGAAAGATGGGGAGGGGTGGGGTGGAAGTATGGGATCTGTTATTATTTAATCAACCACCTCCATTGTGTGATTCCTCCACCGGGGCCCTTAGCTGACTGGTGGAGCCCCATCTTTAGGCCCTTACGAAAAGATAGGAGGGTTGGGGGCCAGCCTCAAAGGGGGGGGGCAAGATGTTCCCAAAATGGCAGGAGCCTTTTTAGGAAACGATGTCTTTTTAAAGCTCACCTTCGTTGTTTTTATAATCAAGCCCGGGTGCTGAACAAAGCTAATATTCGTTCTCTCTCTGCTTTCCCTGAACAAAGACCAAGTGAAGTGGGTCGGGGGAGAGAAAGAGTGGCCCAGAGTCACCTAAATGACCATTTTATTATCTTTCTGGTGAAATTTTCGCAGCCAACCTTATGAGTCAAAAGTCTATTATTCAATACATAATAAGACAAGATAAAAGAGATAAATACTAAAGTAAGATTTCTCTGTTTTATTTTTTTCATCTAGTAAAGAGTCTGAAATGTTACGAGTCTGACCCATTTATGTTTGATAGAAAAAAAAGATGTTCGCAAACAGATAGATTCTGTTATATTCTGCAGCCTGTTCTTGGTAAGCAAAGTTCCTATCCTTTCTGACAGTTTTTCTTCTTGTATGGGAACTAGAACTCCCAAATGCAGCTGAGGATTCCAGATCACCTAGGACCCGTCTGTGCCCTGTCTAGATTCCCCTGAGGTCATGGCCTGACATATTAAGGCAGTGGTGGCGAACCTATGGCACGGGTGCCAGAGGCGGCACTCAGAGCCCTCTCTGTGGGCATGTGTGCCATCACCCCAGTCCTAAGCCTTCAGCTAGGTTTTATAAAACCATGTCGCTTTAGGCTTCTGCCGCTGTGTGCGAAAAAAAAAAGGTTCAATCAATCGATCAATTTCAACTTCCTGTGGGGAAAAAAAATCTTGCAAAGTTGGAATTGATTGATTGAACTTTTTAGCCCCACCCAGTCTGCCATTACCACTGCAGCCACACCCACCCAATGGGCCACACCCACTCAGTGTGCCACACCCACCCAATGGGCCACGCCCACCAGGCACCCGACAATGCATAAGTGGGTTTTGGGTTGCAGTTTGGGCACTCGGTCTCTAAAAGGTTCGCCATCACTGTATTAAGGGATGCCAGGAAAAGGGGAGGGGTTTCAGAAAGGGCAGCCCAGTCCATCCCACAAGCACCCCAGTTTGGGGTGTGGGAATGCATGACTGTGCATCCAGTGTTGCTTTACCGTTTTGTTCAGAAATAGCCGCACATCAATTCTTTGGCACTGTAAATGTTTTGCTTTATGTTTCTTTTCCAGGAGGGCCCCAGTCTAAAGGATGTGCTCCATTGTGCGTTCTAGAAGACGAGTTGCTGAAGATTCAGTGTTGCACCTCTGACTTTTGCAATGATTAAAATGTTGTTTGGGGTTTTGCTGTCATCCATCATGGACCATCCTGGCAGATTTAAGCTTGTGGCCTTTACGGTTCATAATGCACCCCCTCGGCTTCTTTGGACACCTCATCCTCTCTCCTTTTTCTCCTGGTCTACAAGACTTGTTCTGCTCTCCCTGTAGCTTGGCAACTGAATAAATTTGTGCATTTACATTCAAGCGTAGTGGATGTGTTTGGTATGACATGTCCATTTTCCTTTTTTGAAAGTTCAATTGCGGAATAGTAGAAGGCTGAAGGGTTTTTTGTAACCCATCTTACTTATGCAAAACCCTCTTCCTTCTCCAACGGGTGCAGGTCTGACTTAGATGCCCATCTCAGATAATTTGACTTTCAAGGTATTTGGTAGTCTTTGCCAAGAATGACAACTTACTTATAATTTATCATCAATAGAAATATAACCTGCCTGCTTCTAAATCTTCCCAGAGACACAGGATACGAGACGGGCAGAAAATAAACTTCATAGTAAACAAACAAATCAATAAAATTACTTTGATTACTAAGCAGCCCAACAATTATTTTTTCCTTCTTTAAAATAACTGTATATAGTTTGAGCTGCTGTATATCCCCAATACACTATTCAAATTCGTTTAAGTTATAACCAGAAGCCAACATGGATTTCTCCAAACAGATCATGCCAAACATTTTCTTATTTCTTTTTTTGATAAAGTGACTAAATTAATGGATCAGCGAAATGCTGTGGATATAGTATACTTGGATTTCAGTGAAGTGTTTGACAAAAGAGAACACAACCTATGTCTTGATAAACTAAAAAGTGTGGGATAAACAGCACTATATAGTGTCTGTGTTTCAGAAGTTTGTTGATCATATAGATTGTCTGGATCAGCGTATTGAGGTTGCTGTAGAAAGTTCTGAAAAAGTGGAAGATCGAGTTGATAAAACAGAAAATAAGGTGGAAATAATTCAGGATGAAATTACTATGTTACAATACAGAAGTATGGAGTTTGCTTTAAGAAAAAGGGGAAGGAAAGAAAACATTCAAGAGGATTTGAGACAAGCGGTCGTAAAGGACATAGCTTTTATTTTGAAATCTGAGCCTGAAGAAATATTGAGAGAGACGGAAAAAGTTAGGTTAGACAATAGGATTAAAGTAAGACAATAGATGGGATAACTTATGAGAGAGATGTTGCTTGGGCATTTTCCCGGCACTGTATCCGAAGAGGGATGAGAGTGGAGGAGAAAGGTTAGGGAGGAAGTAGGACGGTGAGAGGAGAGGGGGAGGGGAGAGAGAGGTGAGGGGAGGTGAGAAAGAGGAGGGAAGTAAGGGAGAGTGTTAGAGAGGGCGGATGCAGTTTGGGGGGTGGGCAAGCAACACCTATGTGTATTTATTTTATTTTGTCAAATGTGAAATTTTTTCTTTGTTGTTTATGTAATTGATAAATGAAAAATAAAAACTTTAAAAAAAAACAAAAATGCTGAACGTGAGCAAAGCCGGAAGGAGGCAGAGGGAGGGCTAAGACAATGGAACATTCTTCCTTTTGCTCCCAAGAGCATTTCCATGGCAGAATTCACTACGCAAAGGAACCTCTACTTACAGAGGCAGTCTACCCCAGAAGAACAGCTGGGCCAAGCACTGTCTCAGCGATGGGCTTCTCTCCAAATGGAGACCTCCTCTTCCCCCTAAAGGCTCCCAGGGACCCTCCCTATGCAGAGCAGAACAGGGAGAAAGTCCCACCGCCAGAATGGGGCACAACTGCTTCGAATACCACACTTCGCTCCGATCCCTCAGTCTTTGTTTGATCCACTGTATTTCCACTCTGGGTGACCCACTGCTTACCAGTCAGATTCCTAGTGCGATTAAAGCCCTTCGTGGCAGAGGTCCAGGTTAGTCTCACCCCCTCCCCCCGGGATTGGCCCGTCCCACTTGTGCTGGCAGAGGAGTTGTGCTGAGGGTCCCATCAGCCCGACTATTTCTACTGACAGGGTCCAGGAGGATGGCCTTCTCTGCTGTGGCCCCTGTCGTCTCAAATATCCTGCCCCCCAATGTGAGGTTGGCCAAACCCCTCCCTTTTCATAAGGGCCTAAAGACAGGGCTCTGCCAGTTGGCTTGGGGCCCCGGCAGAGGAATCGTGCAACAGAGGTGCTTGATTAAGTAATAACAGATCCCACTTCCACCCCACTCCATCTTTCTTTGGTTTTAACTTTTTATGTTTTAACGAAGATTACAATGTAAGCCGCCCAGAGTTGCCCTATGGTAAGATGGGCAGCCCGTAAATTATATATATATAAAAATAAAGAATAAAATCCTCAACCAGCATCAAAGCCTACCTGGGTCCTCGCACATGAATGCCACCAACAACAACGTAAATAGCAAAGCTTTCATCTTGCAATCTCTGCTGCAGCCTTCACAGTGCAGTCCAGGATGGGAGAAGGAAGTTCTCTCTCTATCTCTCTATATGTGTGTGTGTGTGTGTGTGTGTATGTGTGTGTGTGTACACACACACACACACACACACACACACACACACACACACACACACACCATTGCCCCACCTTGTGGAAGCTGGAGATCCAGGTTCAAGAGAGAAGAGCGGGGAGACTTGGCAAAGAAGGGAGGGGTAGGGGGTGTGACCTCATTTTCCCCACTACCATAAGGTAAATCATTTTGATAAGCTGAGGTTTATGGCCAAGATGTTCAGTAAATAGCAGGCAAGAGAACACCCTGCTTAAATGGTTGGGTTCTGGATGTTCTTCCCATGCTTGCAGTGTCCCTGCAGAGGTTTCCTGACACAGTCCATGCACGAGAGAGTGAGGTTTTCCTTCCATCCCAGGCTCAGATAATTTTATGTCACCTGAAGGATCTGCAGGAAAACAGTCATTATCAGAGAGAAGAATTATGTTGGGAATTTCGAGATGGAGCACCCACAACTTCTGAAGGCAAGTCTTTCCACTACTTAATTCTTCTAACTGTCAGGAAATTTCTCCTTAGTTCTAGGTTGCTTCTCTCCTTGATTATTTTCCGTTCATTGTTTCTTGTCCCACCTTATGGTGCTTTGAAAAATAGCTTGACCCCTCGTCTTGGTGGGACCCCTCAAATACTGGAACACTGGTATTATGTCACCCCTAGACTTTTTTCTCTAGATACGATAGCAGTGTTCCGATACTTGAGGGGCTTCTAGAAAGACGTGTATGTCACACTATTTTCCAAAGCACCAAAAGGCAAGACAAGAAACAAGGGTTGGAAACTAACCAAGGAGAAATGCCCTAACAGTGAGAACAGTTGACAAGTGGAATGGCTTCCCTTCAGAAGGTGTGGATGCTCCATCACTGGAGGTTTCCAAAAAGAGACTGTCTGAAACAGGACAGGACAGAGATCCCCAATATTTCCAGCTTTGGGAACCTGTGGGGGGAGGGGATGTTTCCTGCAAGTGGCTGGCAAGTGTGGATGTGGGCACACAGCTCCATTTCCATGAGCAGCACACATGTGTTCCTGCCACTCTAGCAAATGGAGCATGTGTACATGTGCTCGCCCGCTGCTTCTGCAAGTGAGGATGTGCACGTTTTTGTGCTTGCTTAGCATTTCCATGGCCCAGTTGTAAACCCCTCATGGCCCAGTAGTGGGCTGCACCCCACAGGTTGGAGACCCCTGGTATAGGGTCTCCTGCTCAGGCAAGGGGTTGAGGTAGAAGACCCCCAATGTCCCCTTCCAACTCTGTTATTCTATGTTCGAAATTGTCTTATTATTTTCTTATGGCCCAAAATTGTGGTTTGGCCTAGATTTGTTTTGTTGCAGTCCATTTACCTGACCTCTGTTCTTTCCGCCACGTGAGCAGTTACTGTATGGTTATCGCAGTCTCTCTAAGAAAAGTACTGAATGCAAAGCTTGTTCAATCCTTCTCCGTTCCACTTTTCTCCTGGCCTCTGGCTACGTCTGCTTCTGATCCTCCCAAACAGCCTCTCCCCCACCTGAATTTGGTGTTTCAAGCTGACGGAATATCTAACATGATTTGGGACAGAATTCTATGGAAGGACTTTATGCTTTAATAGCCAGACTTGGTGTCCCTCCAAGCTCAACCAAGCTTAAAAGAGAACCTCATGCTATAGGTTCAAGGCAAAGCTTTTCCAGTTGTGTGTGAGCATCTCACACATTGTTGCAATGTTGAACTTCTCTGGCATCTTAGAATTCATCCAGTTCCTGTCTTTCTGCTTCCCTCCAGCACAAGACTTCAACACTCCGATGTGTAGCTCAGGGTTGAACTATCAGGTTCTCTCTGATCATGGCTGTTTTCCTGCAGACCATTTTTTTAGCAGTCGACATAAAATTATCTGAGCGTGGGATGGAAGGAAAACCTCACTCTCTCGTTCATATGACTGTGTTACCTGGCCTGATCAGGAAACCTCTGCAGAGACACCTCAAGCATGGAAAGAACATCCAGAATGCAGCCATTTAAGCAGGGTGTTCTCTTGCCTGCTATCTACTGAACATCTTGGCCATAAACCTCAGCTTATCAAACCAAGTGAAGAAAGCTTACAGTCCCCAAAAATACCTAGACAGCATGTTTGGGATTGAATCTTAAAAACGTAAATCATTCAAGCATCATCAGCAATCAGCTCAGTTCACTTCTCCTCTTGCAGGGAGCAAATATGATATTTTGGCTTGGTTTAATTTTGCGCCCTGCACAGATTGTGCTACCTTCTATGAATTCAGGAAGAGATAGCCATTGTCCAGAAGCCCAACTTTTGAAAATGGAATGGTAGCTGCTTCCTTTAAGACAGGGTTGGTTGGTTCTGCATCTGGAGTGAATCCAGTTTCCCTGTTGGTAGTGGGGAAAATGAGGTCACACCCCCTACCCCTCCCTTCTTCTCCAAGTCTCCCCGCTCTTGAACCTGGATCTCCAGCCCCCCAACAGGTTCTCCCATCCTGACTGCACTTTGAAGGTTGCAGAAGAGATTGCAAGATGAAAGCTTTGCTATTTGCCTTGTTATTGGTGGCATTCATGTGCAAGGACACAGGTAGGCTTTGATGCTGGTTGAGGATTTTATTCTTTATTTTTATATATATAAAATTTACTGGCTGCCCATCTTACCATAGGGTAACTCTGGGCGGCTTACATTATAATTTTAGTTAAAACATAAAAAGTTAAAACCAAAGAAAGGTGGGGAGGGCGCGGATGGAGTGGGGTAGAAGTGGGATCTGTTATTACTCCATCAAGCACCTCTCTTGCACGATTCCTCAGCTGGGCCCCCAAGCTGACTGACAGAGCCCCGTCTTTGGGTCCTTACAAAAAGACAGGAGGGTTGGGGTCCACCTCACATTGGGGGGCAGGATGTTCCAGAGGGCAGGAGCCACAGCAGACATGTCCCTCCTCCTGGACTCCACAAGCCAGAATAGTCGGGCTGATGGGACCCTCAGCACACCTCCTCTGCCATCACAAGTGGGATGGGCTAATTCCTGGGGCGGGAGACTAACCTGGACCTCTGCCATGAAGAGCTTTAAAGGGGACCCCCAAAACCTTGATGTGCACCCAGAAGAAGACTGGTGAGAAACGGGTCACCTAGAGTGGAAATACAGTGGATCAAACGAAGACTGAGGGATCGGAGCGAAGTGTGGTATTCGAAGCAGTTGTGCCCCATTCTGGCGGTGGGACTTTCTCCCTGTTCTGCTCTGCATAGGGAGGGTCCATGGGAGCCTTTAGGGGGAAAGAGGAGGTCTCCATTTGGAGAGGATCCCGTACTTGAGAGTGGCTGTCCCAGCTGTGTTCGGTATCCAATGGGTGCAGTTCTGCCTTAGCTGCTCATCTCAAATGGTGCATAAGTGCATAAGTTTCCTTTAGAAGCAGTGTGGTTTGGAGGAAGACCTGGAACTTGGACTCCTGCTCCAATCCTTTCCTATCCCTGACAGAGCTCAGCACAATCCCCTCTCCGTGTATTCCAGTTCCAGATTTGATCATATTCATATTCATATTAGTAAAGTTGGAAGGGACCTTGGAGGTCATCTAGTCCAACCCCCTGC